CAGCTCAAACCTCAACAACTCACAACTGTTATTGAAATAGCTGTGGATAATTTAGAAGTCGCTCTTGAAGCTAGACTCAAAAATAATAACTTTATTCGATTCGCTGAGTCAATTGAAAACTGATAATTGGAATACCATGATTTGGAACCAATCCAGCTCTATACATCTGACCATTATCCAATATCAAAAACCATCAAAAGTTTTTTTTTTTGTAAAAATAACCTTAGAGTTGGAGATAATATAATGTAAGAGTGGCTTTCATAGTCAAAATTTGAACAAAATTAAAAACACACGGTTTTTATCTAGTGAGAAATTCTGATGATTAGAAAAACACTCAAAGAAACTATAAATCTAAATTATCAAATATTTTTACAAGTGGTGCGGAATGAAAAATTAACATAATGACTGTTCCAACTTAATAGGCCACTCCACATGACATATGCTTTAAGGATGGTGGTAACTTATTCTATTATTAGTTCCTATTTAGGGTTGAATTTCCAGAGGCGTACGAGATGTTTTATGAAAATACTCGGTTTGTAGATTAGTGAGACTACTCTTTCAGAATTGAATTAACTTTGTTCAAGAATATAGCACAAAAGCACGACGGAACTAGTCACAAAACTAACTTCACTTCAATTCACCACTAACTGATTCATGAAGCACTGCAATATAATTCACCACTCCTTTTTCCTCGGTGGTCGAGTCTGTTTTATAGCGCGACGTTGTTTCTAGAACTGTCTAGAGTCTAGATAGTTCGTTTCCATTCGTGTCGAATATTGCAAGAGTGTGCACAATTTTGTCATCTTGAGAGATCTATATAACAATACCAATTTTTTTTTTCAGGTTCCACTTTAATAAGGTGCTTCTTGAATTAAAAACTCATCTAAAATCTCCGCCTATGTTAAAAAGGGAAGGATTTCTGCATGTTTAGTTAGATACCTTTCACATTTATCACACCCTAGGCCTATTGAAAGTCAACCCAAGCGTAAACAAGGCTTATTATAGGGGTTTATCCTATTTATTGTGGGAATTAAAAAAATAATTTGTTTCTTCTTTGATAGCTTGATCAATTTTTAAATTAAACTTTAGCTCTCTGTTGTATTATTATTGGCGCGAAGTCCGTCAAATAAAGTACCCTTCGGAATGAATACCTTTTGTATGTTAATTCAGTTTAAATTACAATAACGTTTTTTTTTTTAGTGTGCCAGCACATACTTTATTCATACGACCACATATCAATAAAGTTATTTTTTTTGTTGCCCAGGAAAAAGTCGCGCTTTGGCTTATTATTATTGTCAATGTCGCGTTGTCTATAATAATTGCACCTTAAAACGTGTGTGGGTCTTGCACCACACCTGATTTCTTGCAGTTGTTGGAATAATTTATATTTTTACTAATTCACAAATTAAATAAATCTTTATTGTCATGTAAAATATACAAATGTTGTTGACAACAAAGCCAACATGGACAATATCTATTGAGATGTGAATCTAAAATCCAAGAAAACAAACTGTAACTACCTAACTAAGAGAAGAACAAGAAGAAACTGATCAATAGTGAAAAAGAGAAACATTTATACAAAAAAATATGTCATGTGACATTTTAAAAACTGAAACAAATTATAAAAACAAAATCAAATATTACACAACAGCTTAAAAACGTAATACATCCATGAAAGTAGGTACCTATCCTAGGAGTTCTACTGTTTAGTGAGAAATTTTCAATAAATATTTTTCTTATAATAGATAGACAGTGACATTTTTACCTGAGTGAAGATTGGAATCGAAAATCCTAGATTTTAGAAAAATTGAAGATATTACTTTTATGTTCCTCATTAATTTAATTTAAATAGGTACCTACCTATATCAGACATGCTTCATATTAAAATTCTTAGAATTTTATCTCAGGAACGAACAATATATGTGATTAATTATTATTGTCATTGCTGTTAAACTGCCATGAACCCAAAAATTCAAATAAATCCGCCAGAACGAAACAAAAGTGAAAGGCTTTTGAGGAAATAGACAATAACTAGGAGGCGTTTTGTCATGTTGTTGCCGCGCCTATTCATCAATTGTTGTTTTAATGATACGGTCTGAACTTTATTATCAAAAAAAGCTCCTATTGCTTATAACAATATAATGTAGATTCACCCCTATTTACCATTAAAGTTGTCTATTTTTTCGGGAAATGAGGAAATAAACAACGGAAGTATCGTGCCTTCGCTAAAGGCACACCGGAAGGGTATTTTTATCTTTTAACAACTTGTGTAAATTTTTATCGCTTGCTTATATTATGAAGACGCCAACGATGCATAAAATGTTTCCAATATCAACATGTGAATATTTCAGCAATCGAACTGTGGCGTTGAATGGTTTCTCTATATTGATACAATAATATGTCCATGGTACAAATTCATAGATTCGAATTCTTTTTTTTTTTTTTCAATTTCAACTACAGTTTAGGTATTCCAGTTTACCTGGACTACAGATTTGTAATCTAACTTTCCGAATTCATCAAAGTCTCTCAGCTATAAAAATCAAGACAGGTTTATAGTCTGATTTCTTTCTGATATTTGTCGATACTTTGCCTCATCTCTACTCTTTACCTAATTAATTTTATGTGGTGCTTCTTTCTTTAACGATTTGGTTATGTGTGACTGCCACTCAAAAGAACAAGAAGAGGAGACCCAATGAGAGCAAGAAAGATAAGAAGAGGAAGCGCGAAGACAGAAAGAAAGACAAAAAAAAGTCGGAAAATAGAGAGACAATAAGGGAAAGCCCGAAGACAAGAAGCACAGGACTGACTTGTTACAGTTTTACAACAACATGAAGATTGGTGATTAAAAGGAAAACAAGAAGAATAGGACCAGCTTCCAAATATCAGCAAAAATGGACTCAGATCGTAGTCACTGAAGAATAAACCAGCCTCCAGCAAATCCTGGAAGGACAAAATAATAAACTCAAGAATGCAATAATGGAAAAAGTAGAAGCCGCTAAAATTTTTCTGAGGAAGTTGGAACCTTTCGCCAATAAATAGATACTGATGAACAGCATCCATTTGTTCACCAGAAATTTAAAAAGTTGACAAGAGAATTGAGGCAAGTAAGGAGCTTGTACCTACAATATATGAAAATAAAGAACCAATAGGAAAAACTAAAGACACAATGAAGGAACTTCTGGGAGAAATACGAAGTATTGGCTATCCATAGTTGTCCTCGTCTAGCTGGTTGGTTAGTTGGTTCAAGGCTGGGTCAGGCGTGCTCGTGTCCCGATTTACCCTGCAGCGTATTGAGGCTTATTGTGCTACCCTCTGTTTTGCTTAAGCAAGTTCCGTCTTTTTGATGAGATCTAGCAGGTTGCTGGCAAGTTTTTCATGCCTCTCGCTGTCAAGTATATCAGTACATCTAGTATAAATGAAACGACGATTCACAAATGAACTAGACGTATTTTAACTAAAACGAGTCTTGAAGCAACAGGCAATCTTGACAGACTGAGTTGCTGAACTTGTTTTAGTGAACATAATCTTTCAGATGTACTGGTCTTTTGGGGTGTCTTCCAAATCTAGATTTATCTTGTTTTAAGACTGGATTGTCATGGTTATTTCTTAGAAAATGTCTTCTCTGCTCCATTTCTTTAGACTCCAAGTTTTGATTAGAACAGCTGGAAGACTCATTTAACACGATATCATCACTTAAACTACTGAACTTATCTCTAGTGAAAGCCTTACACAGAGAATCCCTATTACGCTCTACAACATTTCCTGTAAGTAATTCTACCTTGTAGTAAGGCCTTGGGTTTGTGCCATTATCAATAATTTGTCCCTTACACATGTCATGTATAGCATTTCTAATCCTAACTACCTCCTTTTTTTCAAATTCTAAATTTTCTGACTATTCTCTTAAAATGTCTTAACTTTGAAATTATTGCTATTATCATGAAAATCTTCAAATGATGGAAGAAAGGCATTCACTTTATGAGTAAACAATATTTTATTTGGTGATTTATCTAATTGCGAATCGATTGGAGTGTTACGATACTCTAGCAAAGCTATCTTGGGTAGTTTGGACTTGAAGTTTCATGTTGAGATTGCCATATGTTAGAGAAATTTTTTAATTTAAAAGACGAAAACTGTGGTCCCTTGTCACTGTATAGAATTCGAGGTTGGCAAAATGTTTTTTAAGTCCAGTTATAACATGATCTGCAGTTTCAGCATGCAATTTTTTAACCTCAAAGAATTTGATAAAATAATCCACCACCAATAAAAATCCTTGATTTTTATAATAAAAAACATCAGCTCCTACCATCTTCCATCTTCCAAGAACTATTTGGGACTTCTCTTAACAATAAAGATTCATGTCCATGTTTTATCTGAAACTTACAAGTATTTTTTTTATACCACAGTTTTTTACTACATCCTCAATTTCCTTGAACATAAAAGGCCAGAACAAAACATTGTTTACTCTTGATTTACATTTGTCAATGCCAAAATGATTACAATGGTGCTTGTGCTTGATATGTGGTATAAGCTTTAACATTTCACCTCTTAAGTTTCTGGGCACAAGTGCAGTTTGATTTCTAAAAATTATTCCATTAACAAAGAATAATTCATCTTTAATGGAATAGTGATTTCATTTAATCTGGTAGGTATTTTATCATATTTTGGCCAACCGTTTTGAATATAACGACTTAACAAAGCCAAATCATCACTTGTGTTTTTAATAAAAATATCTCTTTTTGAGTCACTAAATGACAAGGTAGGTACCTATTTAATATCAAACCTAAATCGCTTAAACCTCCTTCATACTTTGAATAAGAGCTAGACAAAGCATAGGAGTATCAGCTAAAGGCTTTTTAAAAATTTGTTCCAAGGGCTTATGATTTATCTCAACATAAATTATTCTACCCTACCACAAACGTACCTATCGATGAAACCTCTTGCAGCCATGTACAAATGCCAGTAACTCTTTTTCAATGTGTGCCCATGACTGCTGAGCAGATGTTGAGGCTTTGGATGCGTATGCAACAGGTAAGTTATCTTGCAATAATACAGCACCCAAACCCTTGCTACTACTGTCAACTGATAAGACAACTTTTTTTATTGTAATCAAAAAATTTTAAAACTGGAACCCCAGTTAACAAGCTTTCCATTTTCTCAAAATCGGAAGTATGTTTATTTGCCAACCAAAATTCACATTGTTTTTTCAAAGTTGTCTCATTGATTAGGTTACATCTCTAATAACTTAGGTACAAATTTACTTACATAAGTAACCATTCCTTATATCGTCTGTAATTCTTTCTTGTCCTTCTTAGGTGCATCCATGTTAATTATTGAACTTATCTTTCTACTATCAGGACTTTAACCTTGAGCACTAAAAACATGACCCACATAAGTCACATCCGAGACACCAAACTGACTTTTTTTGTTAAATCTCACATTACTCTGCTCTTTCCAATACTGCTTCCAATTTTCTGTTGTGATCTTCTTTATCTGTTCCCTATATCATAATGTCGTCTAAATAAACCTCAACACCCTCCAAGCCTTCAAAATTATTTTTAAATTTTTTGTGAAATACTTCAGGCGCCGAACAAAGCAGAAAAGGAACCCTTTTATAAGTATATCTACCAAAACTACCAGCGTGAAACGTTGTTCAAAGTTGACTGTCTTTATGTTTTTTAATATGGTAAAAACCTTTGTTTTCGTCCAAGGTAGAAAAAATCTTAGCTCCTGACATCCTTGACGCTAGCTCTTCGAACAGCGGTAAATGATATGCCGTTCCCCGCTCTAACATCATTTAAAGGCTTGGGGTCCAAACATAGACGAAGCTATCCATCAGGTTTTTCAACAATAACCATTCAGTAGGTTCTGTCATTTTCCTAATAACATTTATTTCTTCCATTCGATCTAACTGTTTTTTAATTTCATCTTGTAGCCCAATGGGAATTTTTCTAGGACGTTGAGTCACTCATACTGCATTACAATTTATCTTAATACCTTCAAAAAGAACACTATATTTTTTTCAAATCTGGTTTAACTGTTGTTTACTATCCAAGGTATGTACCATCATCACCAAAAATAACTGGGACAGCATCATATTAGCTCTTGTAGTATTATATGAATTTTATTGTCAAATATTTGTCAAACTATGAATCAAATGCATTGAAATGAATGACAGTAGAATTAGTCCAGGAGATTATTATGCATTATTTTTGTCCCAGATACTTTTGGTGACGATGGTACTTTCTTGAGCAGATTAAACTTTTCGATACATGGAAGTCCTACGATGCAAGGTGCATCCAAATTTACTATCTGAAACTCCAAGCTGTGCTTTACTCCATTAATTTTCCACATATCCTTTAAACTTCACAGGAGAAGGTCTGTATATCCAAATCTCTGGATGTCTTCAAATTTAGGACATTACCATCGGCTCCTGTATCCACTCCACACACAACCCCATTTTCGTTTATTTTAATGTTCTGTAGCCATTCCTTAATACTAACTACATGTTTTGTTTCATTGGTAATTGCTCTTACAAAGAAATCATCATCTTCAATCTCCGAGTCGTTCTCCACTTCATTGTCAATTTCTTGACTTTTTAACACACGCACGTTTCTTCTTTTAGGACACATTTTTTCAAAATTGTTGTAATCGTTGCAATTTCTACACTTTTTTCGGTACGACTTACATTTTTCTTTAAATTCTTTTTGATCACCTCGTTTTTTCCATTTTACGTCTCTTTTTTTTGTTGTCTTTCCGTTTATTTGTCTACGGACAGCATGAATTTCCGTAAACGCTTCTTGGTTCAACTACTTTGATCGCATTCCAGCTAATTCAGCAGCCTTGCAAATGGAAATACACTTGGTCAAATCAAAACTTGCCTCACGTAGTAAGGAATCTCTCACTCTGATGTCTGAAATTCCATATACTACTCTGTCTCTTATAAGACTGTCTCGGAGATCACCTAAGTTGCAATTCATGCTCAACTTTTTCAAATCAGTGATAAACATATCAACCGATTCACCCTCTTTTTGTTTTCTACTATGAAACAAGTACCTTCTCTTTGGGCAAGTGTTCCATAACTTTATCCCATTTTTTCCTATCCTCCTCAGGAACCTCTAAGGTTTTATAAATATCTTGTCCCTCTGGTCCCAGGCAATGCAACAAAATAGCAACTTATTATAAAAGTCTTGAAGCAACCGGCAATCTTGACAGACTGAGTTGCTTACCAGTAATCACAGAATAATATATTCTGCGGAATACATTTAAAGATAATAATAATCAATTCTGACACTCGCCGCGTTGTATTCCTCCAAATAAATTTTGTCTTCTGCGTGCCAGTGGTTCACAGACGTATATTTTGTGTAAGGCGGTTTCCTACTCTTCATCACACAGTGTACATCTCGTTGGGCCATTCTAGACTCTCATTTTTTGCATGTAGGCTTTAAGATGGCAGTGTCATGTTAGTAGTCCTACCACCCGTCTTATCACACGTTAGTGACAGAACTTCAGCTATCAGCATCTTTGATGATGGAGTTCCTTAGAATCTCCTGTGCGCATATTTGGATTGCATGAATTTCTCCTTGGTAAACTGTGGCATTGAGCCATAGAGGTATGCTTTGTTCTAATCTTGGCCTCTCTCATTACCCCAGCGCCAGCTCCATCCGATGTTTTGGAGACCAGGCCTCTCGTTATTATGTGAGGTATTCCTTTCTGCTTTATGCTTGGATCGCATATAACTTTGAACGGTTTTTCCTTAGATTGATTTTTAAATCCTAAAGGTTACCACCATTTGATCCGTCCGAATTTCCACTAAGTTATTTGTCCATCAGTAGATGACCGTATTTGCCTGTTGTTTCTTTCCATGCCCCAGTAGCCCTCATCTGGTGAGCGTTAACTATGGCTGGCATGTTAATGTGTCAGTCTCAGAAGGCTGTTTAGTTTATTGACTGTCGTTACTTGTTGTGCTTTTGTCCACCATATTGCAGCTCCGTATACAACTATAGGCCTGATAACCGTGGCGTACAGCCATAGCATCATCCTTGTTCTCAGGGACCCCATGTTTTTCTCAATAGACCTCTGCCTCTAACTAGACACATTTTTGCTTTGTTGAGGTCCATGTTAACTTGGCATCCAGGATTAGACCTAGGTATTTCACTTCATCAACTATTTTAATCCTTTTCCCGAAAATGCTTAGGTTGTATTCACCCCTGTTCCTTCATCTAGTGAAAGGTATACTACCGCCCTAGCGCGGTCTCTTTGGCGTTGACCATGAGGATTGCTTCCTCGCGATGCATAGCTATCAGGGCTGTTTGCATAACCTCTGCTACGACGCTGGGATGTTTTCCTTGAACGAGTATAGCTACATCCTCTGCATACGCTTGGGCGGGAAATCTCTACTAGGTTCCATAGAAGTGGCGATAGAAAGCCGCCTTAGGGGCATCCCACAGTAATGACAGCTTCTAGGGTCTTCATTTATGTTGACTTTAACTCGCCGGTACTTAAGCAAGTTGTGTTTCCACCTGCAGGTGGTGTTGTCGACTCCATGTCTTACTGCGACAGTGACCATGGCACCAAATGATGCGTTATCGAAGGCACCTTGTATACTACAAAGGCTCCCAGGGCTATTTCTTTGTTGTATTCCTCATCTAGTTTCTTCCAGAAGTTTTCTGGATGTCATCAAGCCGAGGCATAATATATTACATAGATACTCTATTATTTGCTTTCCAATTCCAATTTGCACTTTGTTCTTATATAGACTCATTATTTTCGTTACTCAATAATTTTCACAAGATGCAACTCTATAGTTCTACGTTCTACCATTTATTGTAGATTCCTATTAAAACTAAATATTGAGACTGGTAGATTGCCTAGTATCCTTTTCTACCAAGAGTGTGAATTGTATGAAAACAAGTAGGTATTGAATGTCGCGAACATCGAACCTATAGATATTCTCAATGAATACCTGATAAAGGTAATTCCTCCTTATAATATTGCAACATATTCAATGAAGGTCTACGTATTTTTAAAACGGAATAAATGCATGGAGCGATAGCAATAGGACATAAATAGTTTCCTGTTTAGGGTGATTTGCGTTGTAGATTATTTACCAGGTATTCATCACTGTGACTGAATAATGTAAAAAATTATCATATACCAGACCCAAGGTACCCTTTAAATATTAATTTCCTTATTTGAATCCATTATGGATTGTTGCATTGTGTTTTCTGTACTCATCTTTAATATTTGGTTTTGTTGTGAAGTTTTGTGTATTATGATGTCCAAAGATGTTTTTATTTATTTATTTATTTATTCATAATCGTAATCGGTAATCTATGTCACGGTCCACGATTTGGTTTCACTCTTTTTCCTTAATTAAAATCACTTTCTCCGTTTTTGAAGTGAAATGTTGAGCGGATTTTTGCATCTTGTGCCATTATTTAAATGTTTTTCTATTATATTGGATTTTTGTACTTACATTATTTTTGGCTGGCTGGCTGCATCTAACACTTTAAATAAATTGATTAATAGGTATAAAGTTTTTTTTATATCTTTAGTATTGTTTAATAATAATTATTATTGTGTTAATTTAATTATTAATAAAAAAACGTTTTGCTCATCATACGAGTCATCCAGGCGCCATAGGATATTTGTTTTGTTCTCCACTGGCACCATCTATACAATAAAAGTGTAACTATTCATACTGGATACAAGAGCTCTGTTCCAACCGACATGAGAACCGTTCTAGAACGGTAATTTCCAGACGATCAATTCATTTTTCAGTTAGGATAAACCTTCAACTTATTGAAAAATAGATGGGCAACTGGAAATTACGGTTCTAGAACGGTTTTCATGTCAGTTGGAACAGAGCTCGAAAATATTAAGTTGACCGGACACTCAGTAGATGGCGCTAAATAAAGTCTCACTTATATAAATCCAGAATAGATTTTTTGTTTTAGTTTGCTAAATTTCTCAATACAAAAAAACAAATCCTCTAATTTTGCAGTAATAGTTAAATAAATTTCTATTTTACTACAAATATTTTTAATATTATGAAAAGCTATCTTTTAGATACATTATCAATACTATCGATAATAGATGGCGCCAGCTGTATTTGAGTTGTCGAAGAAAAACCTAACCCTAAAAAAATTTTCATATTTAAAATTAAATTCAAATTATTATTAAATTTAAAACTTTCTAGCTATGAACATCCTCCAAAAACTAATTAGAAATGTCCCATTACGTCCATTCGTCGCTACAGCCACAGAAAACAGCCTTATACAGAAAATAAACAAAACCGGAGGGGCCCCAATTTCAAGTCCTAGTCTTGCTACCTTGTTGAATGATAGATTTTCTGCTTTATCAATGCAAGGTTTGTATTTAACGTTCAGTTCATTAATTCAGAGCAGATTATTCAATAATAGATAAGGTTTTTGTCAACTCATTTATATGTATTTTTATTCAGGTCTTTACTTTATCAAGGCTCCTTATATTTCTGGTGCCTAATACATCTTCAGGTTCAGGAACCACGTACATGATGCTTGCTGATTGTAACTGATTCTGAACCTTGCTTCGATAAAGACCTGAATAGAAGGTCGAAATGTCAGCTAATTTCTAAAGAAAGAAGTTCTATTCCACTTCATCCTTAATCCAGAACTTCTCTCTATCATAATTAATACTTTGGAGGACATTATATTTTCACTATATTAATTTTTAATATTTGGGTTTCTCAGTAGGGGTTTATTTATTATAATTTCCAAATTCAATTGGTCCATAGATCCATAAAAGTTAGGTATCAAAATTTTTTTGCCATCCTTCATTCTTGGACCAAATTTAATACATACCTGCATCACATCATGAAAATTTGATTTTGAAAGGCGTGTTGATCCAATACACTATATTACATAAGTACTCGCATAAGTATAACATTCCATTATATAAAACATCATACTGTTGGTGAAAATGACGAGGAAAATGGTGTCTTTTATTTTGAAAAGATTGTGCTCGAGATTCTGGGAAGTATAACCCTGTAAAATTTTGCTTTAGAGAAAAAAGAACTTACTCAGATATCAAAAACCTTATTGAAACTCTTTCTCTACTTGTTCTTTAAGCTATTTAGAACATTTGCAAGAACAAATACATAGTTGCAAAGTTATTGATTTTTGTTAATTCAAAATGAGTTATGTATGTACGTGAATATTGAATACACGTGTAATGTTTTTGACCCAAGGAACTTGATTCTGCATGGTTATTATAAGTCCATAAAATTTCCATGACAAGAAACACAAGAAGACTGGAATCTTTATTTCATAATGGTTATGCAAATAACTCAAATGAAACAAATATAAAACAAGATTATCTCTATCAGTTCCTTGCTTGCAGCCATCGAGCTTGCAGCAAATTCTTTTCGGTTTCGCCATTCGCCATTAGGTCAAGCAAGCATACCTATTTCTATTTTTTGTTCTAATATGCATACAAATTGAAAACTGACTCATTAATTATAAATAAGTTCCTATTGTTCAAATAAGGGTTCTATCAAATTAAAGTAAAATTTTTGAAAAATATTAAAAAAAAAGCTTAAGGACTTTCTTAATTATTCTTCCAGATGTTTTTTTTTTTTGTGACCTCACAATGAATGTAGATGGAGTTCTTGGTTGGTGATAGGTCAATAAAACAGCTTAGAGAATCAAATTTTGTATTGATCGACCAATATATGGTCACTCTCACGATCCTCGTCAGGATCATACAAGCTAGATCCTCTGTGTTGTATTATGATCCTGAGGATGACCATATATATACTTTATATATATACTTTAAGCTGTTTTATTGACCTATCACCAACTAAGAACTCCATCCAAATTTTTTAATAAAGTTGATTTCTTGGATATTTTCTAATTTTAAAGGAATAAACTTGGGATTTTGGTATAAACAACTCCTCGAACAACTCGTAATCTTCTATAGACTCACAAAATTTCGAATTTTTATCATCTTCGGATTTTTAGTTAAAAATTCAGTTGTCTCACAATGCATTTTTTGCTTTTTTTAAATGTCTGCCAAAGTTGATTTTTTGGATATTTCCTGTTAGGTACCTAATACATAATTTGAAAAAATACATCTCTTTGAATAAGAATAATTATCGGTTTATAACGTTCTACGTCTTCCGATCCCCGATCTCCAACCATCTGTCAATCCAGGCATCCTCCTCTAAGCCTCTGTCTCTTATTTCTTCGTTTACTCCACTTCTTCAGCTTCTTCTTGGTCTGCCGCGTCTTCTTCTTCCCCCTATCTTCCACTCAATAATTTGCTTGGGTATTCTTATTCTGCCATTCTTTGTACATGTCCAAACAAAATCAGCTGTTTATCCTGTATATCATCTACTATTGTGCGTTTGACGTCCATAATCTCCCTAATTCTTAGATGTGTTATCCTTTCTATTTTTGACCTGCCTGCCGCTCTCAGCGCTCTCCTCAAAAAGTCCATTTCAGTTGCTTCCAGCATTTTTGCGGTGGATCCTTGGTTGCGGTATCTTCAGATCTTAATGCATTCGCAATTGATTCACCTGCACTTGCCCTCTTCGAAGATATTTGGGTGCATATTGCTCTTCGTGGATATGATGTGCGTCTACATTGCCCCAAACTCTGCTGTCGAAACATCCCAGGAATTCATGGACAGGGTTGAGGTACTTCGAAACAGGTATCACAGAGCTGCGTTTTCGATAGTTGAGGACTTCAACCTTCCCCAAATAGAATGATGTCTTGAGGAATGCTTCCTGATCCCAGCACAATCGAGAACCTTAGCTGAAGGAACCTTCATCGAGTCAATGTATTACTTCGAGTTGCAACAGGTCAATCATGTTAAAAATTCTTTGGGCAGGATCTTGGACTACATACTAATCGACAACATCGAAACTTAGTCAGTTGAACAAAGCAACCATCCTTTGGTCAAGTTCGATCCTTACCATCCAGCTCTCAAGCTTACCTTTGGCACCGGTGTGACGGAAATAGTGAGAGATATCTGCTCTGAGATCATGGCATTCGATTTTCATACAACTGACTACAACGCTATTAATTATCACTTTTCCGATTATGGATTGGTCTTTCATCGACGAACCTTCGAACCTTGATGAGATAGTGGAAAATTTCTGTCGCATTGTTTATTCTGCCCTTGATAGATTTGTGCCTAAACGAGCCGGCGCAGATAATAGGTTTCCGAAGTGGTATAGTGCTCCACTAAAAAAACTTATGAGTTCCAAAAACAAGTAGGTACTACAAAAAATACAGATACTCCAGGAATCCTCAGGATTATACGATTTAGTCAAACCTGCGGAGGGAAGTGAAATATGAAATAGATTTTTGCTATGCCATCTTTATATCGAACATGGAGCATGTACTACCTACAAATATGAAGCACTTTTGGTCCTACGTTAACTCCTTAAGAAAGGACTCGGACGTAGCTGGAATCTACGTTTCAACATTAATGGGCAAGTCTTCGACGACAATCAGGCCATTTCCGATGTTTTTGCCGCCCAGTTTCAATCTTTCTACACAGACTACAAAGGAGCTAGGAAGATTTCAACATACTCTTTGCCTTTGTCTCTACGCTATCCTCCTATGACTTCTTGGAAAATAATTTCGAATCAAAGCTAAAAAGCAATTGGACAGCTCCAAGGGTCCAGGTCCTGATGGCATTCCCCCTCTGCTGCTTTAAAAATGGTACCGTTCCGTGTCAAAACCCCTGCAAATTATTTCAAAGATCTTTCAATCAGGTTTACTTTCCAGACTGCTGGAAAAAATCAACTATTTTTCTAATTCTCACATCTGGCGACAGAAAGGACGTTCACAACTACAGAGGAATTTTCCTATTATCAGCTATCCCCAAACTACTAGAGACCATCAGAGAAGATCTTCGAAACATATAAGCACCACATAATGGACCAGCAGCATGGTTTTCACCAGGGTCGATCTACAGCAACAAGCCTTGCCGTTTATCAAGACTACCTGGTCCATTCACTGGAAGCTGGTCACAGAGTCGATGTCGTTTTTACCGATTTATCAAAGGCTTTCGATAGGGTCTGTCATCAGCAGCTCCTTATGAAGCTCTCCAGGATGGACATTTTAGGCTCTATGAAATGCTGGATTCAGTCATACCTTAGCGAGCGTGGGCAGTATTATACTGTGGGTGGGGCAGCATTCCGGCAAATTAAAGTCCTCTCCGGTTTGCCCCAGGGGTCACACATAGGTCCAATACTATTCCTCCTGTTCATCAATGATGTGGTCAGCTGCTCCCACAACGTTCAGTTTCTTCTGTACGCCGATGACCTCGAATTTTTTTGGAAAACGGGTCCACATGTCAACCTTCAAGCGGATTGTTGCATGGTGCAGGAACATTTTTTTCTGGAATTGAACGTCAAGAAGTGTAAGTCAATGCAATCGGACTGTCTAGCCTTTTTGCTACACCATCGAAAACCAGATAATTGAACATTTTGGCGTTTACAATGATTTGGGAGTGATCTTTGACAGTAATTTAACTTTTTAGAACCACATTGAAAATATTGTGAATAGAGGGTTTAGGATGCTGGGCTTTGTGAAGCGTATCACAAAGCATCTACATGATACCCAGGCGCTTCACACTCTTTACAACTCTCTGGTGCGCAGCATCCTTGAATACTGCAACGTCATCTGGTCTCCTTTTTACAACTGTCACAAACAACAGATTGAAATATTTAGTTCAAGCATACTTTGCTAAATACCTCCTGTACAATCATCACTTTCCCTATGAAAACGTCGACCACAGCATTGAGCATTAAGCTCCTCCTGTGTGGCCTGAAATCAATGGAATAAAGATGTCGTGATCAGCTGCTACTGTTTCTTTATAAGCTGGTCCAGCGTCCGGGGGATAATAACCTGTCGTCCTCTGCTTTCCGAAATCAGTTTTCGTTCGCCAATTCGACAAACCAGGCAAACCCTGCTCTTTTTTGTGACCACTAATCGAAAAAATTATGGCTGGTGTGCATTTGTTGACCGCATGATGAGCAACTACAATGACCACTACGCAGCAATCGACTTGTTCTCAGATAGTCTCCACACGCTCAGGCGTTTGTTGTAGAAATTCATTTATAAGTTTTCTATACACTCTGCTCAACGTATTTGTTACTGCAATTCCTCGGTGGTTCTCGCATTTGTTTCTGTTTCCTTTCTTATATATCGTTGTTAAATAGCTCATTTTCCACTTTTCCGGTATTTCATTCATACTTATCTATGCAGGTTTGAAATAGTTTTATTAAATATTTGTAGAATTTATTGGTTCCATACTTTATTAGGTCTCCTTGGGCCTGGTGCTCTACCATTTTTCAAGACGCTTCAGTGTTTTTTTAACTTCTTTCATATATTGGTGATCCTGCAGTTTTTATGTTTTGTGTCTGTTCTTCTTCTTCTTCTTCAATCTCTGCCCGTTGCTCTGTCAGCAATTCTTCAAGGTACTCTTCTCATTGCTGGAGTGTTATTGTATTACTGATGATATCCTTAGTTTTTGTTTTGGGTCATGTTTTTTTAATAATCTCCAACTTTCTGTGTTTCTTTTACCTCCCAGATAAGTATTAATATGCGCACAGTTTCTTTCCCATGACTCGTTTTTTTTTCTGATCTATTTTATTCCGTACTTTAGCTTGTGCTTCTTTATATATTTCTTCGTCTTCTATCTTATTTGAACTTGGATACTGTCAGTATTTCTTCCTTTTATCTGCTATGTCTTTCTCTATTTCTTGATCCCATCAATAGGGTGGGGGCCTGCTTACATTTTTTTCGCATTTCCCTAGGGCTTAAAATGCTGCACTTCGAATACTCTCTTTGATATGATTGTATTTGGAATTTCATAATAATCTGTAATTTTTGATCTAATCTTTTCATGTGTAACCCCTTTACGCTTTGCTCTTCTAGAGATTTTAGGTAAGTTGTATTTTTCAGGCACAATATTGTCTTCTTGTGTTTTCTTACCGTTTTCTTTCGTGGTGTTTCTGCCCGGAGATCGCTCCCCTAGATGCACTCACATCCTGGAATTTTTGAATAAGATTGAATGAATAAGAATAATAGTGTTAAATTTTTACATATAAAATGTCATCACATAGTGAAAATAATATTTCTTAGATTAAAAATAAAATTAGGAACATGCTGGATCAAGAACTAAATATATTAATTGGAATTGGCCTGTTGGCCTTAGACGAAATTTCCCTTGAAACGCCTCTAAATATTCAGGTGGCCGCCAAAAGATGTCGCCTATGATTCTTTAGTAAATTTTATTTTCTATTATAGAATTATTCTGGATTATCTGAGGAATTTTCTAAGCAATACCTACTCTACGCTATTGTTTCATATCACTCAAACAGTGGAAATTATATATGTATAATATTTCAACCCTTTCCGACGTCTAAAAAACCGCACTATATAGGAATCGGATACGTATTTTTTTATTTTGCCCAAATATGATTATTGCGGAAGTTATACAAATATTAAGTTTTGTATTAGATATACTGAGCATGTGCGACGTCACTAATTTATATGATAAGTGACGTCATAGGCATATTTCATAGCGTTGTATCTCAATTTTTGACTAAGAAAAAAAAGAAAAAACACGTGTTGACTTATTTTTTATCGTTTAAAGAAATCAGCGATAAAAAAAATTGATGCAAGTAGGTACCCTTCTAAAAGCAACGACGCGTTATAAAGCAGAGTCGGCCACTAAGCGAAAGAGTCAAAGACGCCAGTGTGATCGATACTCAACCTTCATGTACAAAAAAATATACTTTCAAATTGCTCTGTGCTCAAAAATGAATCTGCTTCACTATCTCCGTTATTCCATGTTTTGAGATTGGTTCGCAGAGCATCGGAAACAGAATAATCCGTATGCATGCGTGTGTGGGCCCCAACATTCTATAGGGTCAACCTAATCTGGTCAATTTTTTTGGTCAGATGTCCCATTCAGACGTGCAATCCGACCGTTTCTGAATGCTCGCTATGTTTTGCGGTTTTCAACTGTCATCGCACAGTGGACAATGTGTCTTGAGGGGCGGACGGACATCACCTGCCCTCCCGAAAGGGTAGTTTAACCCCCGTGTATGGGTGCTAATGACCACAGAGACGGATAACAATCCGAATAAAATGCTCGGATTCCGTCCCTGTAGTGTAGCGTCCAGTTTGTGGTAAATTGTTCCTCTGGTGTGACTGATCGTAATCTTGCGGATTTTGCTTATTGCATTTTTGGTTAATATGAATTGAGGGCTGTCACTAGAGTTTAGCCCTTTTCTTTCGAAACACGTTTTCGGAAATGACCATTGGGGGGTTAATGATAAAATTATAGATAAGGGGTTTCTATGATAAACTATTGTGAGATACAGTTACAGCTTATTGCAATTTTTGTTGGACAGAAATTTTCTTTTATTTGGGAATCTTTCTGTTGTGTTTTCTTTATCAACTATGTTTGAATTGTATTTCCTGTTTAAAAACTTTGATTTGCCGATTGAATCAAAAGATAGATAAATTGAATCTTTGAACTTTTCTTGACATTGATACCATAATTTTCCTTCTGTAATCAGGTTGTACCTACTCTTCAATAAAGACTATTTGAACTATTATAACGAGATTCAGCCTGTAACTATAAAAATTAATTTTCCAAAATTCCTACCAATAACACATTTTATACGATTCCAGATAGAGGTATGGCAACACTAGCCCAAATGCATCGAACGGGTCCGCATCGCAAATTCAACGTGAAGAAACGAGCAATAGACGGTCAACCCTTTATGAAAGGCGTAGTACTAAAAACTTTAATAAAAAAACCGAAAAAACCGAATTCGGCCAACAGAAAATGCGTTCTGGTACGTTTGTCCAACGGCAAAGAAATGGTGGCTTACATACCGGGAATCGGGCACAATCTACAGGAGCACAACATCGTTTTGTGTAGGATGGGACGTGTACAGGATTGTCCCGGTGTTAAATTGAAGTGCGTCCGGGGCAAGTACGATTTGGGACATGTAATTATACAAAAGTAATAAAGTATGGTTTTAGTTTAAGAAAAAAATGTGCCTTTATTTGTAAATTTCTTGTGAATTGACCCCTAAAGAAAATAGTTAATTTAGGACACCCTTTTATGGGAATAAAGAATTCAATAATCGTGGCTTTTTCGATTTTACCTGGCCCATAAACTCTTTATTGCCTCCGACTTTAATGCAGGGAAAATTGATGTGCAAATTTTTGTGCTTCATATTATATGCCAAGGAAAATATGCTATGTCGTTACGCCAGAGCGTAAAGCTATTGAATATAAAATGGGCAATTCCGTTTCGGAGAAATGGGCTTTCTGCAGGTTTATTGTGGTTATTAGAAAAGTTTCCAATTTTTACTCTTTTTTTTTTGGGACATCTATAGGTATACCTTCTCAGGCAAATCTAGGTGAGGGGGCCGGGTCAAAATGTAAAAATGGTTTTATGATTCATCAAAAAAAATGACTGAATCTTATATTGAGGTTTTTGATTAAAATTCTGAATTTGTAAATAAACTTTGAATTTTTTATTTAGCAATTTCTTGATGATTGAGAAAAATAAAATTTGTGAGCAAAAATGAAATTTGAAGTCAATCTGCCGGAGTGCAAGGAGGGAGAGAAGAAGATCATCATATTAAAATTTAAAATTAATTTGGTGAAAAATGGCAACATGAGAAAATCTTGAAAATCAACTTCCAATAAATCGAATAATAAAAATATATTCTGACACATTTTGATATTTTTTTGAAAAAACTAGTGGAGTAAAAATATCGAAACTTGGAGTGAAAAGATGACGGAAAGGAGCTCATCATACTGATATGTCAAATTAATTCGATAAAAAATAGCAACATGAGAAAGTCTTGAAAAACAACTTAGAAAAAAACAAAATTAAGAAAAGTGCACCCTTTCACATTTTGATGATTTTTCGCAAAACTTTTGAAGAGAAAATTTTAAAACTTTTGGAGGTGAAAGAGGAAAATTTCATCAGTTCCTGGATCAACGTCATAGATGCGCCCAAGATGCCATTTACCTATACGGAGGCAAATGATTGTCATGAATTAACACCATTTCACCAACCGAAAGTTTCGAGTATATTTTGTCTCCATTTCTGTCGCTGTTGCAATTATTGAGTAACATATTCGTTCCACAACCTTTTCCAGAACAGTTGCTTTATTTTCTCTAATTGTTCAAACAAAGATAATTTGTTAGTTGGGGTGCTCATAAGGGATGTGATACAGACGCACGACTTAATTAAAAATAAGGCGGCGTAAAAACAGTTAAATCGTTCGGATCGGCAGACATCGGCCTCAAAGGTCTAGAATTTGATAAACTTTCCATTTGTGGAATGATGGTGTGAAAAGTTTCAAGTGTAAAAATACCTGGTGAAGATGTCATCACTTTGAGCAAATGTCCTTCTTAGCCGACTTAATTCCCGCTTCCCATATACCACTCATAATCCGAAATCTAATGCCATTTAATGAGAAGATCATTACCAAGTTGTTGAATAATAACACTTTTATTAGATTTCAAAAATTGCCCCAATTCTTTTAAACGATTATTTGCACCTGAAAAATAGCTGCCATTATCAGAATATACATTGGATGGTTTGCCTCTACGTGATATGAACCTTTGCAAGGCTTCAAGAAAAATTACAGTGCTCAAATCTGTCACCAGTTCAAGATGAACCGCCGAAGACAGAGAAAACATTTTTTTTGTTTTTGCACCACGACTCTTCCTATCTTTGTATTGAAATTGATCTGCGCAATCCAGACCCACGTCTAAAAAAGGGCAGATATTCTGTATTTTGGAAAATTACCATAATTGTGTCAAAGAACTTTGGCTTAAACCGGAAGCATACTATACATTGTCGCACAATTCGCTTAGCGACGCTTTTTCCCGAAACTGCCCAACAGTGTTCACGAGTCTTGGACAAAAGTAGGTAGTTGAGGACCACAATGATAGTTCTCATTATGTATATTTTTTAAAATAAGATCTGTTAAATGATGCTTATGAGGCAAAAGAGCAGGATGTTTTTTGCCGAATGAATAATTCGAGTTTTGAGGCGACCATCTACCCTTATGATGTCATCTTTCAAAAATAGAGTCAAATTATTGAGATGACTTTTGTTGCTAACACTTCCAGATTTGATGAGTATTTGTTGATTGTCTATTTGATAGTTAGTAGCCTTTACAATTTCTCAAAAATCGTAAACAGTAAGCCATAACCATAACATGTTTCACGCGTTGATAAGAAGAAAACCTTGAAAAAGGAAATAGCAATAAATTATTAGAATCTACTTTGCCATGAACTAAAGCGTGAGTATTTTTTCGACATTCTGGCAATTCTGAAATTGTTTTTAGTAATGTCTTTTGGCCATTTTGACGAAGATGAATATACCCGATTAGGGCCATGGAACCAGGAATTGGTTTCAAGTAGAATTTTTGGTGACATGCCCCTTGAAAGAAAATCAGCTGGATTTTCATTTCAGCCGTTGGAACATATCTTGATTCAGAAGGTGCTAACTTCTGAATTTCCGAAACTCGATTACCAACAATTACCTGGGAGTGATGTGGTGAGGAACGAATCCATGAGAGGGATACGTGGAATCACACCAAAAATAAATATTGTCATAGTTTAGGGTTAAAGATAAAGATGATGTAATTTTGGAATAGAGCTGTGCTAGAAGTAAAGCACCGCTCAGTTCCAACCTAGGAATTGTAATAGACTTGATGGGAGCTACATGAGTTTTAGAGGCAAGAACATGGACGATTTTAGAAACATCTACTGTGCGTAGATACACACAAGCACCGTATGCAGATTGAGAAGTGTCCGAAAATCCGTGTAGCTCAATTCGAACCATCAGATTTTTGCAAGTTACTTGTCTTGAAATTTGAATTTTGTTAAGTACCTACTGGGAGTTCAGATCTAAACGAGAGCTACATATTTGCAAGCTCAGAGGGTACTTCTTCATCCTATGATAACTTAAGCAACCATAATTTTTGCAAAAAGATTCTTGACCGATTTATTACTGGAGCTAATAAACCCAGAGGGTCAAAGATTCTTGCAATGTCTGAAAGAATTACCCTTTTGGTTACCCTTTTTGTAGATGGAAGTAAATCAATGTAGTAGGACAACAAATCATCTCGGCCAGACCAAAGCCCCCCAGGTATTTTACTCGCGTCTGATGAACCAAAATAAAATGTATCCAGACACATTTGGTCCAGGTGGTCCCAAACTTGTTTTGGCCTACGTGGACGACATAGGCGCAGTAGGAGAAAGCACGGTCAGTGTAATGGAAAACTTCATAAAGATCGAAAATGAAGCTCAGAGAATAGGTCTACGTATAAATGAAGGAAAGACCAAATACATGTACGTCTCACGCAACCCCGCGCGAGCCAGAGTCAGACAGAACATCACCATGGATGTCTATAATTTTGAGCATGTGCGAACCTTCAAGTACCCGGGCGCAGTGATAACGGCGGACAATAATATACAGGAAGAGATTAAACAGCGTATTACACAAGCAAACAAATGTGCATTTGCAGTACAAACCCTGTTAAAATCAAAATTTATCACCAGAAAAGCCAAAACCGTTAGGTATTTACCAAACAATAATACGACCAGTAGCAACCTACGCCAGTGAAACATAGACACTGATAGTTCGCGACACGAGGCTTCTAAGAAGGTTTGAGAGAAAAATCCCGCGCTTAATAGTCCTGTTCGCAGAGCAATCACAAACCAGTCAGAGCGAATTTCATTGGTTGAAAACAATCAGAAACAGTCAGAAAACTAGTTTCAACCAATGAGATTTACTCTGACTGGTTTGTGATTTCTCTGCGAACAGACCTATGGCCCCGCCCGAGACCCTAAATCAGGCCGTTATAAAATGAAAAGCAACGTAGAGCTTGTCCAAATATATCAATGCCCTGACATCATTCAGGAAATAAAGTCTGGCAGACTAAGATGGGCAGGGCACGTACAAAGAAGCCAAAACGAGTATGGGAGGAGGCGCCACAAGGAAAACGACCACTGGGAAGACCTAGGCTTAGATGGAGAGATAACATCATTAAGGATCTATCCACCCTTGGAGTAGATCACCAGGAATGGAGGAAAATGACCCAGGACCGTCCCGGATGGAGGCAGATAGTCAAGGCAGCCAAGACCCACCCTGGGTTGTAGTGCTATGGAGTAAGTAAGTAAGATACATTTAATGATTTAATTTGATTTAGAAGATCTGAACTATTTGACTTTCACGTTCTTAACTCAAAGCCTGCGCTTGCCAAAATAAAATTGACCTGTTGGCATAAGTCAACAGCTTTTTCAAGGGAATTTGCACCAGATAAAAGATCGTCAACGTAAAAATCCCGCTTAATAACACCGGATGCCCATGGATGATTTGCCTATACATTTCACATACATCAGCAGATATTGCGTATGAATGCTGTCTGAAACGAAGTAAAATTGATAGTAGCTCCTTCTGATTTGAATTAAGTATAGGATTGTGAAGAAGACGGATAAGAACTGTTAGAAACAACTCGTAGTTTGGGAATGCTTTTATCTTCACGTAGTACACCATGATGAGGAGAAAGAATAATTATGCTTGATTTGGTTGGGGTTGAAAAAGATGGACAATAGGGAATTCTCATAAGAAATAAATATGGCTTATTTTGTTTTTATGGTGCACATTTTTCTGTAAAATATTGAATATGAGCAGTTTTGTATTTAATTTCTGGATATTATAGTCATACAGCAATAGACCTATCTATTTTACCAGACAAAGATGTAATAATACGAAAATTTCATTAAATAAAAAAAGACAGAACGCTCATTGCGCAAGACGAGGCAAAACGTACCAAATTATGTTAGACTTACGTATAGCAATCCGTCCTTCTTATTTGCACAGGATAAAAAGGAAAGGAGAAAAACCGCGTGTTGTGCAACGTATTTGTCAATGAAAATGTCAATAAACTTTTGAATGACACTTGTCAAGTTGAATATCAACTTTATATTTATTCTTGTCA